AATAATAATAATAATGACAATGTTGTATTTTTTCTCACCCCAGGGACGCGTTCCGCGGGCTGGTGTCCCTGAAAGAGCTGTACATCCAGGGCGCTGTGATTCAGACCCTCGACTCTGCCCTCCTCACCCACCTCCCGCGGCTTCAGAAGCTGGAGATCAGCGGCAGTGGCGTCACCCGGATGTTCCCTCTCTGTACCTCCAGCCCCCTCCGTATTCTCAACGTGACGGGGAACCACCTGACTCGTGTGGAGAACGCGGGGGTGTGGTGTCCCGACCAGCCTCTCATTCACCTCGAAGTCTTGGACTTGAACAACAACTTCATCGAAAGCGTGCCCCGATGGCTGCCTCAAGCCATGCCGAACCTGCACCATCTCGGAATCGCGGATAACTACATCACAAAGTCGGAGAAGTCGTCTTTTAAGAACTTGCCCAAGCTGGCTTTTCTAGACGTGTCCAACAACTCGCTGCCGCGGCTCCACCCGACCTATTTCGAAGGATGCGGAAATCTCCTGGCTCTAGGTTTGAGTGGGAACAAAGTGTACGCCTTACCCCAGGGCTTGTTGTCCAACTTGTCGCACCTACGTCAGTTGGAGATCGCGGAGATGGGTCTGGACGATCGTGTGTGGCTGGAGATGACAGAACTTAGACAGCTCCGACAACTCAACGCTTCCTACAACGTTCTGACCAGCTTCAGCGTGGATATCATGTCCCAGTTTTTGCTACTGGAGAGTCTGTACCTGAACCACAACAGGCTCTCTGCTTTCCCGGGCGACACTTTCTTGTACCTTTTCAGAATTCAAATCTTAGATTTGTCGTTTAACGACTTGTACGCTATCCCCGATCTCGCTTTTACAAATCAGCCTGAGCTGCAGTATCTGTTGCTTCACCACAATAACATTTCGAGGATCGGGCTCAAAGCTTTCACTTCGCTGCAAGGAGTTCTGGAAGTTGACCTGTCTGACAATCTCATCTCGTACATACCTTCTGAAACTTTCGTGCCTATGGAAATGCTTCGGAAGTTGAACATCAGCAGCAATAACATCGGGGTATTAGACAAAGGAATATTCTCCGAGAACTTTGACCTCCAGTTCCTGAATATGTCCCACAATGTGCTGAAGACAATTCCTGCGCTGAGCAAACTGAGAGACCTCGAAATTGTTGATATCTCCTACAACAACATATCGTACTTGGACCCTGAAACGTTCATAGGTTTGAAGGAACTAAGTCACGTCTACATGGATCACAACAACTTGACTTCTTTACCCGTCAAACTGTTCCAAGGTTGCGATAAGGTAATCCACCTGAACTTGTCACATAACTCAATACAGCGTTTAGACGAGCTGCTTTTTAGCAGCACATTATCTGTAGACGTCATAGATTTTTCCTACAACGAAATCACTGACGTCACACGCGTGTTTAGCGGTCTGAAACGACTGAACTCTTTAAATCTAGCTCACAACAAAATCACCAAAATACACCGCGGCCAGTTCCCGCCGTCTGTCGTAGACCTGGACCTGAGCAACAACCACATCAGCACCATCTCTGCCCACACGTTCAAGTCGATGAGCAGCCTGAAAAGAGTGGACTTGAGACTCAACCGACTGACGTCAATCTCCAAGATGGCGGTGGAAGTGGCGTTCAATCTGCCCTACGAGCCCACGTTTCTCATCAACTACAACCCTCTCGTGTGTAACTGTCACCTGGGCTGGCTCAAAGACTGGTCGGACGGACGGCTAAAGGACATCGTACCGCTCCCAAACTTCAAACTGTCCTTGAACCTACACTGCCAGTCTCAGTTCTACTCCCCGAGCGTTCTACAAAGGGTCCCCCGCGAGGAGTTTCTGTGCAACTACACAAACTACTGCGAGGACTCGTGCGTGTGCTGTGACTACGACGCGTGTTACTGCAAGTACACATGCCCCAGCGCCTGCACCTGTTTCCTGGGAGACGACTACCTCCAGGTACATCACGTGCTGTGTAACTCCGCCAGCCTGACCGCTGTCCCGCCCAGTCTCCCAGAGGGCGCCACAAATCTCCGCCTGGACGGCAACAACATCCAGACCCTGAGGCGACACACGTTCCTGGCGTTGAAACACGTGACCACGCTGTACTTAAACCACAGCCAGATCAACACCATTCAGAACCACACCTTCAAAGGACTCAAATCTGTCCGCGTTCTGTATCTCAACGATAATTTCCTCTCAGCAGTATACTCGGTGACTTTCAAGGGCCTGGAGAACTTGGAAGAGCTCCATCTGGAAAATAACGACATATTCTTCATCGACAGCCAAGCTCTGCTGAGCCCTGAGCCGCTGAGGTACGTGAACGTCCAGGGTAACAGCCTGGTCACGATATCTCTGGAGGACATCACCATCTTCGCCAACAGAACCACGGAAGGGGAACCCCCGGCCCGACTGTTTCTCAGTGGCAACCCGTGGAGCTGTGACCTGGAGTTTGTGAAACCTTTCCTCAAATTCTTGCTCTCGTTCTCCAACTCCGTCATGGACATTTCTTTCATCGAATGTCTCACGTCCTCCACGGAAAAACCAGGCATGGCGCAACCGACGGGCCGTCTGCTGCTGGATTTCCAGAAGTATCTGGAGACGGAGAACCTCACAGCCACGTCGAATCTCACCTCTTCCGGCGAACACGCTCCGGACTCGAACGTTGAGACGTACGCGTTGATAGCGGCCTGCATCATCGTCGCCTTCCTCATCGTTCTGCTCATCGTGATCTACTTCAACAGACACCTCCTGCAGGTTCTCTGCTTCACCAGGTTCGGATGCCGCATGTTTAAAATGGCGAAGGCGAGCGATGACGACCGGCCATACGACGCGTTTATCTCCTACAGCAACAAGGACGAGGATTTCGTCATACGCCAGCTGGCGCCGCGCCTCGAGAATGGAGACAAGAAGTTCCGGCTGTGTCTCCACTATCGTGACGTCACTGTGGGGGCGTGTATCGCGGAGACGATCGTGCGGAGCGTAGAGGCCAGCAAGAGAACCATCCTAGTCGTGTCGGACAATTTCCTGGACTCGGAGTGGTGTCGGTTTGAGTTTCAGACCGCTCACCAGCAGGTTCTCGACGAGCGCAGGAATCGTGTGATCCTCGTGTTAATGCACGAGCTAGACTCCGATAAGCTCGATGGTACTCTCAAGATGTACATGCGCGCTCGCACTTACCTCAAATACGACGACCCCTGGTTCTGGGAGAAGCTCATGTTTGCCATGCCGGATATCCGCTATCGCACAAAGCAGACGGAGCAGCTGCACCACCACCATCACCTCCACAATCATCTTCTCGATCAGCAACAACAACAGCAACAACAGCAGCAGCAGTTTCACCAACCTGCTCGCCTGCCCAGCTCGCGGGAGTTGGAATACCTCGCTAGAACTCTGTCACAACTTCACCGCGACAACCTCACACCACAACAACAGCAACAACAGCAACAAGAGCAACTACAACAACAACAAGTACAACAACAACAACAACAACAACCACAACAACCACAACAGCTTCCAGCGTCAATGCTCACCAAACAGCAGTGCGTGGAAGGTAGTGGCGGCAGTGTGCGGTGTCCAGAGGGCGCTATCCACAACGACATGTATGAGATCCCCGTCCTGGACTCTCAGAGCATGACCTACCAGCTGGCCAACGGCTGTGGCTGCGCCATCACTCACACCAACACCGCCTACCGCCACTCGGACTGCAACTGCAGCGACAGCACCTCGGGCTACCACAACGGCTCCATGGACGGCAGCGCCTGCGTCCACTATGAGGAGGTGGGGCCTCCCGTCTGGTCCTCGCTCCAGACCACGCCCAACAGACAGTTACTGACAGGGGAGACCCCGCCCCCTCCGCTGCCGTCCATTCCCAAAGAGGGCCTATTGCCCAAAGACAGGATCATGACTCTGCAGGTCTAGCCCTTCTTCCCGGCCAAATGAGAATGACAATAATACTGTGAATACTATTACTATTACTGAATATAATAGTAATGATAACAGTAATACTATTACTGACAATAAAATAGTATTATTAATAACAGTAATAATATTACATGGTGATAAGAATATTGCAATTAATATTAGTATCCGTAGCAATGGCAATGAAAACAATGATTGTAATGTACGATATTATGAGAGGATATGAGTGGACACCTTAGAGGTTGCAACATTGCAAGTTGCCCATAGAAACTAAAATGATCATTGTTAATTTAGAAAGAGCGGGCAGGATAGGAAAATTCTTGTGGATCATCTGTGCAGGAGTATAATACACACAACGTTCTGAAAGTCAATAATGGTAATGATAATGAAAATAATTATGATATAATGAATTTATGATATTTTAATTCTAGCGAAAACGTATATTTATAAGACTGATATTTCCTTTGGAATTACATTATTCTGGGGTTGGGTAGTAAGACGTTATGCTTTAAAACAACAAAAGTTCTGAGTTAACTTAAAAGGTTGGGCCTTTTTTGTGCGACTTTTAATGTCCATCAGGCCTATCAGATTTGTACCCTTTTCGATTCTGAGAAATACTTTTGTTCTCACAGTTTTGGTCTCTAACAGAGAGCTCTATAGCCTAGTGGTCGACACTTTGAAATGAACCAAATAATAGTATAACGTGAGCGAAACAGATAGCCAGTTTGAATCTCTTTTTTTATAACCGGTACTCGGGATTACATACAATACCGAATAGCCACAACAGATAATGATGAACCAAATAAGACATCCGTTTTGATAATGCCGTTGCTCCCAATAACTTCACGACGTGTAATTATCCCTACTGTACTGATTCTAGATATGAGAGCAAGATCTTGCAATTATCGCTCGTCGTACTTTCAGTTCTGTTGACACCGAGATGGTTCACAGCGTGAAGGATCCTGTTTCGAAACCCTAACAGGCGGTTGTTGTTTTCTATTTTAACATTTCAATTGGATTGGTTTTCATAGCTCTCTGCCCTCATTTCTCACTTATACTACCGGAGATGTAGGGAGATGTTCGTTAAACCACATACCCTCGCTTCTTCGACAACCATTACAGTTTTGGAAAGGTTGTTCCATCTATTATATTATTATAAAACCTAGCAATAATATGAGACAGCGTAGTGAAATCAGGCTCTCGTCAAAATAATCAAAGTGAAGAAACGTGCATTTTTCCGCAGGTTTATGAATTTTTATCAAATTTTTGTTTTTTAGTTCAACACCTTTCATGCCCAATAAAGAACTCATTTCTGTGTAGATTTTTCTGAAAGACGTTGATGAAAGGCACAAAAATTCTAAATTTTCAGTTACCACGGACTCTTAAGCTAAGGAAATAACTAATCTTTGGCAGCCTTTTTCTCTTTATTTGTTCCTCTGAAAACAGGTGACCCCCACCTCCTTCATTCGCAAATATCTCGACTTGTATTCAAGATAAATGGATATTTAAAGACAAGTGAACAACCTTTGACATTATAGCAATAACTCTACATGCCCAAAAATTGACGAGAGCATGATTCCACCACGATGCCTCACTCATGTCCTCATTCTATCAGTGTGTCGTCATTACATATGTTAGGGCCATGACTCGAATCTCTGTTTAGATAGTGATATTATTGTCCCGACCGATGCCTTTGCCACTTAGGTGAGTGTACATAAAAGTGTCGGAGGAGGAGGCAACGTTGTTTTTTCAACATTTCGCATTTTGCATGCAGCAGCTCGCTCTAGTCGGAAATGTGGCTGTGTAGATCTAGCAGTTGATCGTGTCTTGTATGCAGATGTGCTTGAGCTAGAAATATTATATTATAATACCTATTTATAAAACGTGTCATTATTTAAAACTTGCAGAATCATTGACTTTCTCGATAACAAATGAATGAATAAATTTTTGTTGTTCATTTGTGTTGGAAGGGGGGGGGCGTGAGAAGAAGAAAAAGAAGAAGAAGAAAAAGAAGAAGAAGAAGAAGAAGAAGAAGAAGAAGAAGAAGAAGAAGAAGAAGAAAAAGAACAAGAAAGTATGATCTTAAAAAAAGAATATACAAATTATGCGATCGTAATAAAACAAAAAGGAGTTTCGGGGTTTGGGGCGTAAAAGGGGGGGGGGGGGGGTTCTTGGGGGCTACCGTTTCATTGAATTAATACGTCATATTTGTGATTCGTTTTACATGACGTCACACCATGCAAGAGATGACGTCAGACGTCTGCCATACCTGGAGGATACGGTGCTCAAAATCATTCTGTTCCAACACCAGGGATGGGCGGGGCTGAAAGGGGGGTGGGGGCGGGGTCTGGTGATGACGTCATTATGATATTATTTTTGATGTGCTGATGATATTAATGGGTGAACACAAGACTTGGGTCTTGACAGTTGAGAGAGAGAGAGAGAGAGAGAGAGAGAGAGAGAGAGAGAGAGAGAGAGAGAGAAGTATGCGCATATTTGCATGCATGCCCCTGGAAGGGAGATAGAAAGAGAGACTGAAAGATGGAAAAAGAGAGAATGGGAGTGAGAGAGAAACAAATGGAGAGGGGGAGGGGGAGGGAAAGAGAGACACATGTACACAGGGAACGCATGAATCTGTACGGAAGTATCAATGCTAGAAGGCATTTCTGAATCTGCTTTGTATGAACCTGTCTGTCTTGACATTGCATACCTTGAAAAAAAAAACCCAACTCAACCCATTAAATATTTAACCACACCAAAGCAAAGATTCTCATTAAGGTGCTAACTACCTATGTTTTAAAATGTTTGTTTGTTTGTTTGTTTTTTGTTTGGTTGGTTGGTTGGTTGGTTCATTGGTTGGTTGGTTCATTGGTTGGTTGGTTCATTGGTTGGTTGGTTGATTGATTTTGTTTGTTGGTTGGTTGTTGTTTTTGGGTTTGTTTGTTTGTTAATTTCTTGTTGTTTTTGGGTTTGTTTGTTTGTTAATTTCTTGTTGTTTTTGGGTTTGTTTGTTTGTTAATTTCTTGTTGTTTTTTGGTGGGTTTCTTTTTTTTTTTTCCTTTCCGTTTTTTGGGTGAGGTTTTTCTTTCTTTTTATTTTGTGGGAGGGTGTTTGAAGAGGGTGGCATTC